GTGAAGATGTGGACGCGCGAATCGCGCAGTTTACGTAGGCCTACATTTATACAAACCTGCGACGGAAACCCCTCTTGTCTGTCAGTCAGTGTGATTATGACTGATTTTAGTAAGTAACGAAGTAACCTGTGTCGGGGCAATGTTAGTAACTGTAGTGTTATTACTGAATTATAAAAGTAACGCGTTACACTACTCCGTTACCAACAAAAGTAATATTATTACAGTAATGCGTTACTTTTTAACGCGTTACACCCAACTCTGGACTCTACTTATACAGCCCATTTACCATTTACCAGGGAGCAGTTGGGAGCTATAGCTCAAGGGCACCTAGGGAGTACTTTTCCGGGACTTGATCCGGTTACCTCCTAGGGTCGCGTGTACCATTGTCATGCACTGTTTTATTGAAGTTTCTTTTTGCACTTTTTATATTTAGTTTTATGTCTTATGTATTGTATGCTGCACTGTTGGAGGAGCTATTGAATCTTTGAGTGTTGAATCAAAAGATGGCGGTAATGCTTTGTCCGGTACGTTTACGTTCAGGTCATGATAGTAGGCTAAAGAGGAAAAGAGATTGTTATTTCTGAGTTAGTAAAACAGCATGCACACTGTGACAGGAAGTACATAGTGTACTCAGTGGACTACACAGAAGTGTATAATAATCTTTTGATTTTTGCTGAACAAAGTTTTATGACAAAAATCGTCATCAACCTGTACATTTTGTTTTACAACAGCCTTCCTTGAATATTAAAATGGTATCTTGTTTTTTTCAGCACGTTCATAAGTAAAGGAACAGAAGTATTATGTCATGTAGCAGTGTTTCTTGGGAAAAGGGTGAAGCAGTTGGGAATGTGTGGGTGTGTAGTTTGCAGCAGTGTTTTCCTGGCAGCAGCTCTGGTTTACCAGCAGCAGACGTTATGAAGGAACTGGAGGGACTTTCCCTCTCAGAAACAAACGACAAACCTGTTCCTGCATGTAGGCGCTGGAGAGGATCCGCCGCTCCTCCCTCAGGCAGGTGGAGATCACCCGGGCCATGACCGTGGGGTTTGATGTGTATTTCACCTTTGGGGATACACACACAAAGATAATTACACTCACAGTCTTAGATGTTGTTAATGTAAGCATAGAAAACGCCCTACAAGAACTGGCAGCAGAGTAATGCTGACAGTCAGTGTTCACAGTGTATGTTTATCTTTGCCATCCAGAAAAACCAAGCACCTGTGCAGTATCCTCAGAGATTTGTCATCATGTTGTTTAAGTACTTATCATACAATCAGAAAAGGAATGAAGTTCAGCCTGTTTCTGGACCGAACCTCCATCCTAATAAAAGTAAAGGCTTAGAGCCAAAGGTGTGACACATACTTGCAATATAATAAGTTGTTTCAAAGGGCGTTATAAAACCTGTAACGGAAACAAATTACATAAACAAATACGTCTTTGATATGGAGCAGACACGACTCCTGCCTTCTATCTCACCACATGACTCAGATTCTTATGAAGAGTGTGGCATTGGTTTGCTCATGAGCCCGTTCAAAACCCTACTTAGAAAAGTACCAAACATCCTGCTGTGGGAAGAGGAACGTTTTTTTCTCGCCTCCAGGTGTGAGAAAGTTTTAATTCATCCGCATCATTGCCAGACTGATGACTGAGCTGCATGAACGCACACCTACACTCACTTTTGTTTATGTCTTTTAGTATTTATAAGCAGGTAGTTTGGTTTCTGGTATTTTCAAGCTCACTTCCCTTTTTTGTCCCCCTGCATTACTTAGCTAAAAAATTTGATCCTGGAAAGAGTGCGGAAATGGTCTTGTATTTCTGATGATCATCAGTAAGAGATCAAGCTACAAGGGGTTTTCCTTAGGGAGCCTGCTGAAATGTGGGTTAGAGGTCAGTCAAACTAAAGAGAGATTAAAACACAATCGTACTTCACAACAACAACCGCCTGCACTCTTCACATGAGTAGCTGCTTCCGCTGAGAAGTATTGACTGCGACACATTGAGACACACAGGAAACAGCGGTATGAGCCTCATGGGTTTGTTCTGCAAAGGTATATTTATTTTCCAGAATAAAATGTGAGCTTAGCCTCATGACGTCGGTGAGCTCTGACCACAACATCCTGTAAAGCGCCTGGATACATAAAAGAAGAGAAGGGAAGGTTTTTTTCACAAAAACACCATTATTATGCTGAGTACAAGTATTTCAGCCAGCGGTCAGTGCATCATTTGTAAAAGAATGTCTTTAATTGTATTTCAATTCCATAAAGTCGTTTCTGTCCTTCTTAACTTCATTTGATATTGGAACGGCCAAAACAGAAGCTGCTCTCAGGTAAAGCAACCACAGCACAAACAGAAACAAGTTACACATTCAGAGTGACTTCTTTTTTTACTTCCCTTTCACCTCCAGCACACATACACCATAGACCAAAAAAACACTTCTTCTTATTGGAGACATTTTAAAATCAACTACTGAAAGTGAGTATGGTCATCGTTTTGATGAAGTTAATTCCACCACGAAATCTACTTTCACAACTTTTACTTTTACTTTGGGTAATGGCATACAAGACACCTTCATAAGTGTAAGTGCAGAGCATTGTCATGTAATAGCAACATTTTAGTATTGTCACCTCAAATTTAAATGCTTTATGTTGTTATGATAATGAAGAAAATGACCCGACAGGAGACTACTGTGATGAACGCAGAATTTGTATACAGCCAAATAAACAAATGTACCATAAGTCAACTTATGCAGACATACAGAACTGAAGAGAGCAGGCCCCCCCTCTAAATGTGTGTATATGTATATTTGTGTCTATGTATTTGTACATACATACATTTTTTTACATATAGAGGTTTTTGCCTCTGTCACCAAGATACTGCAACACCATGGATCTTTTGACATTTGATTAGCTTTTTTTGTTTGATTACATCTCGCTGCCGTTGCTTGTGCTGTCTATTATTCTCCTAAATGTTGTAATTCTTGCTTTATAAACTACTTTTAAACCAAATTGCTATCTCATTCCCCCACACTGTTCAGTTCTCTCCTATTCCTGTTGTAATGATACATTCCAACAGAAAGATGTAGCCCAAGTACAGTTCACTATAGTCATGAATGCAGGACTTATAACAGAGTATTTGTACATCGTTATGGAATGGCGACTTAAATGAAAGAGGTACTTCATACACCTCTGCGCATCAAACACATATAGTAAAAGGTGTTTATGCGATTAATAAATTACAGTATGAGCATGTTAAACAATAAAATAATTATATGTTTTATTATTATCTAAGTTTCCACGGTGGGCAAGCTACAGTTTAAACTAAGAAGTAAACAAATGATTGCATTGTGCAATTATTACCGCAGTAAAGTAACTTTGAAAAGGCGTTGGTTAGGTGTGAAAATAAAGCCTCTGTTTGAATTAAGGGAGCTGTGCATGTGACATAACTAGGACATAAAGAAGGTGACACACCTGTAGCTGCTGTTGTATGATCTTCATGTTGTGTCTCTGTAAGAAGTTCTGCTCCTGTGAGCGCACTCGATCCAGCTGGGACAGAAGGTTGGTGAACAGAACCCCCGCCATGGACTCCTCGTTGGCTGCCGTGTCCCTGAAAAACAGACAAAAGATTCCCAGCTAAAGATATGAAGAAGATGGCTGGAGTTACAATCACATCAAACCCTTTCTTCACCCGCTCCACTGGCTTCCTGTCTCGTTCAGGATCAAAAACAAGATCTCACTACTCAACCATCAGTGCATCCACGGGAACTCTCCTTCCTACCTCAAGGAACTACTCTCACCACAAACCTCCACATGCAACCTCCGTTCTACAACCAACCATCTGCACAAACTAACTACAAAGAGACTCAAAATAACTAAGAGACAGAGAAGGACCACAAACAGACTAAAACAAGACCATCAAGAGTTCTTTTTTTGACAGAGTGCAGGTGTTTGTTAATTTGGAAAGTTAAGGAAAAACTCATAATATTTTAAAGCTGCATTCTTTATTTTTTTCCCCAACTCGGGGCAGGATAACAAGCTGAAAACAGATGATGGGGCATATTATGACCTTATAAACTGTGTTTGGCTGCTGGTGCTGGAAAGGTTAAGTTTTAGTGTTTTTCGACATTCAGACTGGCAAAGATATTAATGACAGTAAAGGCTGTTAACTGAAAGCTAAACATTTTTAAAACATACATACAGGAGCAGGACTCACCAATCCTGAGTCTCGATCCAGCTGGACAGACCCTGCCTGATGTCCATGGGGAAGTTATCATCATACAGGTAGTCCACATGCTCCAGGAGTCTGATCTCCAGCTGCTGGATCTGCTTCCACTGGCTCATGCTGCCCTGCATACACACCACATCATAGGAAATGAAAAAACACAGTAGTTAAAGTATCCTTTTTTTGTGTGGATATTTTAAAAGTATAATTAGTTTGGTCGTGCAGCTCTATTCCCTTCCTTTCTCACATTTATTACCTTTGCTGTTTGTGCTGTGCTGTTCCTTCAGTCTTCTCACCATGTGCACTTGTTTCCCTCAGACTTTCGTTTTGCACGTTCAGGAAGCAAGCTAATTTATTCTAAGGGGCTGAACCAACTCATACTCAGAAAGCACGCCCATCCACACACACACACACACACACACACACACACACACACACACACACACACACACACACACTGTCAAGGGTACATTTGTCGTCTGTGCATTACATTTCCTTTATCCTCCTTGTCACTCTGGTTGGATTCTAAACGGCATTTTATTGCATAAAAATAAACTAAACTTACAGGTGCATCTAAAAAAATTACAATATCACGGAAAAGTAATTTTTTTCTGTAATTGAAATCAAAAAGTGTATCCTTCATATATTCTAGATTTACGCAAGTGAAATATTTTCACGCCTATTTTTGTTTTAACTTGTATGATTACGGCTTACAGCTCATAATCCTATCTCAGAAATAGTATAATATTACATAATACCAATCAAAAAAGTATTTATAATACATAAATGTCATCAAGTCGACGTGGTATGGAGACAATATATTCAATTATATCCTAATCATTTTTTTAGATGCACCTGTAATCTGATTTCCATTATGCTTATGCATCTCTTAATGGTCACATACTTATCTTCTCTCTTCAACTCCAATTTAAATGTAGATAACTCCCTCTGTTGGAATTATTGTAAACAGCGGCTTGGGGGGCGTGCTACATGTTCAAAAACGTGTGAGTTAGGGAAAACATTTAAATATGTTCTCACAAAAACAACATGTTTGTCTTAACATTTCAGAGAATCTTACAATAAAGAGTTAATTTGAGCGTATGACTTAAAGATATGACAAACTAGACTCTAGAAAAGGGTAACCAGCCACATGTTGAGAGTGAAATTATAATGTTCTGTAAATGAGGTCCCAGACGCTGGCGGCCGCCCCACCTCTTCCCACATTGTATTACATTTTAAAATAGGCCTACAATCTTTTTTTTTTTACATTTAATTTTTTTATGAACAAGGTACTTATTATATAGTTGGTGGTGTTGTCAGTGGCGAACCGTGTTTATCATAACTGGACCTTCTGTATGAGGTGATATTTGTGCCAAAGACTGAACTAACTGAGCAGCCAATCGTGTCGATCGTCGTGAACTATGCCGCGAGAGAAGTAACGTGACACTCTCGTCGCAACCCCTCTCGTCTGAGAAGCTACGTGACGTCTGCGTCTGAAGTTACTCTACTTAGTTATCACCAAATAACCCAGTAATGTTACAGCAACTTACCCCTAGATTCCACCGGGTCCGTCTGCGTCGCGTTACGGACGCGTTACGGACGCGTTACGGACGCGTTACGGCCGCATAAATTATATATATAGAATAATAATGATGATGAATGAATTTTTTTACCACTAAAACACATCTTTGATTCATGTCGTTTCTAACTGGAATATTACAATTATTATTAACTTTGTCTGCACAAAGTAGCCTGTCCAGGAAATATGTCCAAATCAACAAAAACGGCGAGCCGGCAGGCAAGCCGCTCCGCTTCTGAAATGCTTCTGAAACGCGCCCGATAGGGTATGACGCCGGAGGAGGCCGGACCAAAACCGCGGCACAGCCGTGACGCGACTCAGACGGACCCGGTGCAATCGAGGGGTTAGATGCTGTTCAAGCTAGACTCTATTTCAATATAGTTTTGGTATTCAAATAATGTTACACCTCTTGTATGCCCTGAACGCAAAAACAACCACAGACAAGAATATGTATTTTTAATTTTCAAAATGATAACAAAGGCTGAAAAAACAGGAGATGCCTGTCTTCCCTTGGTCTCCAGGAGAAAACGCTACTGTATATCACCAAGTTTTCATATAGTTTTGTGTGTGAAATAGATCGCTGCAGTGAACACGACTTTATGTATTTGTTATGGTTTATTTTATATGGAGGGATTCAGTATACATAGAAGTTCAGAGAAGAAGCAACCCCTATATTGTTTATTTTATTTCATTTCATTTTGGCACCATGGCAGAGGCAAATATAGAGTTAATGTGCGGAGATTGTAATGTCCCGTTTACTAAAATATATATTGTTTTATGATGTTTAGTTGACAAAAAAGTCACTGTGCTACATTTTGCTGCACTCAAGCATACATCTGAAGACAAGAGTTGTGTCGCCCTTTGGCCACAAGGGGGAGTATATATATATATATTGTATAATATATATATTTTGTATTGATGTTGCAACTATACAGAGCTTTGGCAATACTATATGTAACTGAGGTCATGCTAATAAAGCTATTGAATTGAATTGAGTATACCTTTAAGTGGGCTGTCAGGAGAAAACAAAGGTTCGCCAACACATTGCACTCTACTGCTGAGAAAGGCTGTACAAAGACGTGAAACGATGTGCTGCAATGTCTGTGCATTGTTGAAAAATGCCAAGTAAAGGAAGAAAGTAATAACTCACACTGAGTCTTGATACATTACTTTATTTCTATTACATAGAAACACTATCAATAATATGATTTATTATGTTTGTGTTACACAAACACCATAACTGAATTAATTCTAAAACCAAGAATAACCTACATACAACAATAGGGAGCCCTGGCTCAAGGACGGACCAAACAAGGACACCACACATGATTTACAGTATATTTATTTAAAGAGAGTAACTCAATTGTGATATCAGTTAATCAGTAATGTGTGTAGTGTACGGGTGTGTGATGTGTCAGCAGGGCCGGACTGGGACCATAGGT